TTCTTTAATCCTATCTCTACGCCGCAGAACATAGCTCATCAAGGCAGTCAGTGGTTAGGCATTCGTATTACGTGACCCAACTACCTCAACTGATGAAGTTTCAATACTTCATTTATTGATTTGACATCCCCTACCTAGTATCTGTTTCCTAGCAACAGCATTGCTTACTCGAGTGTCGCAGGATATACGAGCAGTGGTTCAAAGACACCTATGATCGAATACTTGTAACCTACGAAAATCTCTCACTCTTACTGGCTATATTTCACAACCATATAGTAGGACGGAACGAACTGCTGCGCAGTAGACTGGTCCTCTTTTTGGTAGACCGATATCTCACCTACGTCATAAATGACGCAAGTTGGCGAAAGCCAACCGAACCTTCTGAATCCCCGCTGAGATTTCGTCAGTCATCAGGCCTTCAGCACTGATGAGACTCCCAAGATAAGTAAAGCGGTCAACACACTCAACTAGTTCACTCCGTATCAACTGTGAAATAAAAGTGACACATTTTTTGAAATCATGAATTGATTAATGTTAGACCATCACCATTAGGGAAACCTGGAAGCACTGGACGGCCGTTTCGTCCTGGTATGGGACTTCCTCAGCAGTGCGCATCCACGACTCCTGCATCCCCAGTACTTCAAGGTTTCTAATGGTGGTCTAACACTAAACGATTCATGGTTTCAAAAAATGTGTAACGTAACAATCTTCACAACCCCGTAATGCAAATAAAAGTGAGTCTGAAACTTAGTCCTTCAAAGAAACCTGAAGTAAATGATATACTTAACTTGAATCAAGAAACGAAAATCAACTTTCTACATCTCAATCTTCAAAGATATCATATACCTCTAATGATTGAGCTGAAATTATTTACAGCATGAAGTAGATATACATTACATTTGTTTACAATTGGATTGAATATTGAACAATGGTTGTGTGTCGCTCACATGCATAAATTGTTGTTAATAAATGTTTTAACTGTTACAATTATTTTGCTAATTTAATTTTTTTAATTATTTGATATTTTATTCTTTTTGTTACATTGAAGTGATAATTGAAATTTACAAATTCTCATTAACAATATTGTTATTATTATTATTGCTATTAACTCCTTTTTTGCATAAAAAAATAAGATTTTTTTGAAAATTGTTTTTCTTTGATTTTTTTCAATCACCAATCAATCATGATTAGACTACAGCATTAGAAACCTGCAAGCACTGAGAGATGGCTGTGTCGACCTGGTATGGGACTCATCACTGGCAGTGCGCATCCACGACTACTGCTACCACTTGCAGAATTCAAACCCAAGACCTTCGATTTTGCGCGTGAACGGCTAACCTCTGAACCGCTGGGCCGGCCTTCGTCCAACGGTGTTAATGTTTAAGTTTGATCAATTTAGGGATTTGGAGCCACCTTTTTGTCTACGGTAGTTACTGTCTCTACACGCGACAGGGTTGAACTCCACTGGTCACGTGTTCTCACTAGAACCCCGAGAATTTCCTCATGAAGCTGGTCAATAGTGAACACGTGATACGATTTTTTCAATTAGAGTTAAGGAGATCATTGTTTTTACACACTGGAATCATAAATCAATCAATGATTTTACA